GAAATACTTTCGAATAATCATACACGACAGGAATGCTCTGCATCTCCTTTTTCTCCTTCTTAGCATCAATCACAAATGCCAAATATGATGTGCATCCTTTAGCCAAACACTTTCTGGCTTTCATTAGAGAAATGATCCCAGAATTTACTCTGCGCTTGTCCCCATACACCATAAATGAGTCTTTCCCTGGCGGGTTTACTTTGACTATCTTCTTTCTGCACAATATATCGGCGTCATTGGCGCTAAGCCAATCCATTCCCAACACGATATTGAAACCATTAAGTTCTATAGGTAATAATTCCTCGTGGAACTTATTCTCATTTAAGTCAATTAAGATGTTTTTCATACGATGGCTAACAGGTACAAACTTGCCACTAGCAACTTCGACTAATAAGGCATTATCTAGTCTATCAACAGACAAAGCTAGTTTTCTACCAAATTCATGCGATATAAAGGAGTAGTTCGGTAAGCAATTTGTTAACGAGAAAGGTACCTGAAGCGACATCAGCTTCATCTTTAACAGCTTCCAGTGTCATCTGGAATGCTCTCGCCTTTGGCTTCGGCGGGATGTTGGGTTTTGCTGCCTCTTCCTTCTTCGGACAATCTCTTGAGATGTGCCCTTCCTCACCACAACCATAACAAACTTTCTTGGTGAGGGTGCATTCATTGGCATAATTCCCTAGCTTTTCACACTTGAACATGTGACCACTTCCCCGTCACATTACCCATGATGCTTCTTCTTACACTTGTCACACCATTTCGCCTCTACCTTTCCTCCACTTCCTCTTGAACCAGATTTCGAGAATTTACTTTTCTTGCTAGACCCTGAAGATCCATCGATTTTCCTCTTTTCACCCACCTATGACCTTTCCAGACCTTTCTCCCTGATCTGGGTCTCAACATTTCTAGCAGCCCAGATGGCAGCTTTCAATGTGGTTGCTTGCTTAACCATTGGAGCATAGTCCGCTGGTAGTCCATGGGCAAACTTGTTGACCTTAGAGAGTTCTGTTGGTACCCAATATGGGATAAACTTCATCTTTTCTGTGAAACTAGCAGCGTATTCAGTAATGCTCAAATTCCCCTTCTTCAAATTCTGAAACTCATTACTGATTTCCAGAAGGTCCTGCTCGGAGCAGTATTGCACTTTTAGTTGTTCCACAAAGTCTTCCCAAGACATTTTGCTTGCTTCTCCCTTGGGTATAGAGTCAGCTAACAGTTTCCACCAACTCAACACGCCAGATTTTAACAGAGGGATCGCAAGAGCGGTCTTCTGCCTGTTGCTGCACTCGCAACTTTCAAACATAGTCTCCATTTCGGAGATCCAATTAATCACTTCCACTGGCGTCGGGATTCCAGATAAACATGGTGGTTTGGATGCCATGAAATCCTTGTTGACCCAACTCATCGAGTGCACCCATGAACTCGTCTAGTTTCTATAGTACTCAGAAGGTCGGGAAAACCCTAGCCAACTCACCGAGTTGGCTGGAAAACTTGTCGAGTTCTCCCCAGCTTAACACATTCAGTTGATTCTTCGATCCCAAAGACTATAAGGCTTAGATCTAAACTCAAATGTTTTCTAAAAGGATAAAGTTTCCAACTTTATCCTTTGGGGCTACTCCAAATGCTCAACCCCCCCCCCCCCCCCCACAAGGCCTGAAAACTCAAGGGCTTAACCATTAAGCACAAAATCCTTGAGATCAGAAACCCCAACTTTTCCAAAAGAGTTTTTAGCCTAAAAAATGTCCCAAAGGTTGGTGCTTTATAGACATGCATGCCCGATGCATATCTTGAACCCAAAATTGGTCAAAAAGGGAAAATGTGACCTAAACTCCATGCATGGCATCAAGACTTGGCTAAACACCAAATCCAAACCAATATAAGGTCACATTGACCTGGAGATTCATAAAGTTGCAACCTTTATGAAATCCATCCATAGCAACATCCAAGAATAAGGAAAAAAAGGGACAAACTCAAGGAAATAGTGATTAGGGTTCACAAGGGCCGAAATGGGGGTTTGGAGGATGATAAAAGATCAGCCTTAAGGACTTATACAGGGTGCAAAACCCTAAAATTTAGGATTTCCCATTCAGCGATCAACACGTTGAGTTCTCCTTACCAACTTGACGAGTTGGTCCATAAAAATGTGCAGCCCAAAAGCCCTTCAACATGTCGAGTTGAGGCTGTCAACTCGCCGATGTCCAATAAAAAAACATGCTTAAAGGATTAAATCTCACACCTGAGAATCAGGATCTTCCGTTTGGGTTGTCTAATAAAAGTGAAAATTTTAAAATGAACTAGGTTGGTTGGTTAAAAAATTTAAACATGGCTATTTCTTCACAACTTTTACCTAATTCACTAATAAAATTTCTTCTATTTCAAAAAAACTATTTATCGTTATTATAATATGTCTCTAATATTTTTAATTTAAATTTAATCATTTATTTTATTTGATTTACAAATCTTGATGTTTTTCATTTTTTTTTTTTCGAGTTGACTATGGTATGCGATAATACTTTCCTTTTTGATATTTAAATGTGCTAGTCACCTATTTTATGTATGTCTCTACATGTTTTATGTATGTATATAGGTGTCTTTGGCAAAACTACTCGAGAGCTTGTAGCCTAAAGTTATAAGTTTTATTTGTGCAAAAACGTTCATCAAAAGTAGTTGTTAACTTTTAAATGTTTAAAATTATACAAACCCAAAAGCTAAAAACTTCTAAAAACCACTTGAAGTAACTTTTAGATTATGAGCTTTTTATTTTAAAATAGAAGCGAAAAACTTTACTGCCGAACGAAAAATTCCTTTTTTTAGGTGTTTTTCCCCAAAGCTAAAAGTTGTGTATCAAACATATCCGTAATGTTATTATTTTACACCAAACACCCATAGGCTACAAGTTTATCTAATAATAGTAAACATAGACAAGTTTTTGTTTCCCATTTTACGTTTGTTTTTTTACTTCATGAACACGAACCCATCTCTGATTTGTAGATTTTAGTAACTCAAGAAGAACATAAAGCTACACAAACACAACGAAACTAACAACACCATTTCATATAAAGTAATCTATATCTTTATCTTTAGTAACCTCTAAAACCACTATCTAGTCTACATCTCAAGTAACACGTACACCGGTAAACACGGTCAACATCACATACTCTTGACCAACTATACATTTGACGCCTACCGATTCTTTCTTTACTCTCAAATCCTGTAACAACTTTTTTAATTATCATCTGAAAAAACTCTAAATATAAAATCCTTAAATCTTTTAGAATAAAATATTGGGTTGACAACAGAAATGGAAGTGGAATCACATTGGAATGATTTATACGTGTGTTCAAGCTTCTTACTCATATCATAATCTTGTAGTATATCTATTATACCAAAGAAAATGATGACATCACCAAATTGTCCTGTCGGTTCTCCAACTAGCTGCGTGTTATTACTTCTCACTGTGAATTCAACGCGTGCTGACATTTTAATTCCTAACCGTAAACAACTACACCTACAAATTTACAATCGTATAATTTTTTTTAGATTAAAAATAGCAATGTACTTAATATCCCATTTACTAAACTTTAATTTGTATATATTTTAGGGATAATTTTAAAAAATGCCTTATAGTTTGTGTTTTTTTCCTGATTAATCCTTAAAATTTTTTTTCATGAAAAAAGACTTTGTATTTTTTTTCATTTTTTCCGATATGGCCCTTCGTCATTTTTTTTCGAAAAAAAAATTGTAAAATGTGAAGGGTTTTTTCGAGAAAAAATAAAAAAGTCGAGGGTTTAATCAGAAGCATTTAGAAGGTTGAGGGTTTTTTTCAGAAAAAAATACAAAGTTGAGGGCTTTTTCGGAAAATTTGAGAAAATACAAGGTCCTTTACATGAAAAGAAAAAAAAAAGTTTATGGACAAAAACACAAAATATAAGGTTTTATTTAAAGATTAATATTGATTATACTTTTAATATTCCAATCAAATCACTACTCATCTCCAAATTTAAAATGTTGGAAAGCACAATTTAATTAATTTTATGCATTCAAATTAATTTTCGGTTAAAAACATTTACCATTTGAGTTTCACTATTTATCTTTTTTTTTTTTTTTTTTCTGTGCGATCTTTACTCATTTTTTAATTGACGAAAATCGTTAAAATTAATGAGTATTGGGAAATTATTTGTTAAGAATGTAAGGGTAAAATTTTAAATACTCATTTTTTCCTTCCATTTTCACATGTTACTTATTTTCTCAAATACCTTTTAAACATGACATCACTTTATGAGACAAAGAAAGAAAGGGCCTTATATGCTCAAACAAAGAGTGTTTAAATTTTTTAATAATATTTATTAAATTTTAACATGTAACTTACTTTGTAGGATTTATAAGAGAATCCATGTATGTTGAAAGGTTAGGAGTTGTTCCATTGCTATCAGCATTAACATTCACTAAAGTATGATTTTCTAAATTTAGTCATAAAACTAGAATTTTCCAGTTATAGACTTACATTCCGCGGAGGACCATCCGCGGACCTCTGCGGAATGACATCATCTTCGCGGACCACCTGAAAGTATGATTTTCTAACGTTTAAAAGATTGTTCCGCGTAAGCCCTCTGCGGATACAATAAAACCTCCGCGGAGTGAGTTGTTTGGAGGTCATAAATTCCTCTGCGGAGATGATGATGAGGAGCTCCACGGAGAGAGTAATGTCTCTGCGGAAAGTGTTCTTTTTCAATTATTTTAGCTCCATTTGGTTGATAGATCAATTCCTTTTCATTTGATTTTCAAAAACAAATATGAGTTTTGTTATTTTATATACCGGGGGGTTTTGGCAGATAAGTAATGGGATTAACACCTACGTTAGACCAAAGTTTAACAAGTTACGTTTACTGTTTCCGCTAAATTTTGATTGTCGAATATTGTTTGATTTGGTCAAAAGTAAGGCTAATGTGTTCAATAGTAATATATCATTGTCATTTCAACACCCGGTTCATGGGTATGTTATGAATATTTTAGACGAAGCAGATGTTCATCAACTCAGAAATGTAATATCTGAAACGAAGGAGATTGTGCATTTGTATTTAGAGGTGTTTCAGGGATTGCTCGAACAGACAGAAGCGGTTGAGAAAGTTGTACCATACAATGTTGAAAACGTTGTATCTTATAATGTTGAAGAGTGTCCAGAAGAAGAAACTATGGCAGTGAATACGGTTGAGGAAAAAAAATTATATGAGTTTGGAAGATTGACTAACAAAACTTTGTCAGCCGGTGAAGAGTCAAATGAAGAATGGTCAGAAGATGAGTTCACACAGGAAAAAAGCTTCAGACATATTTTACGGTATGCCTCCCGTACCTGATTGTCCTGATCCTATTGTTGAACCCGAACCATTTCACAGTTTAGATCCAAATGATGATATGTTTGTTCGTCAAATATATGATAACAAACAACAACTAATATTTTCTTTGAGTCTTAAAGCAAACAGAGAAAAGTTTCAGTTTAAGACCAAACATTCTAACAAAAATCATTATGAGGTATATTGTGAAATTGAGAACTGTAGTTGGCGTTTATATGCAAAACGCCTTGATCCCATTGATGAATTTGAAATCAGGATTTTCAACAATGTGCACACATGTTCGTCATTACAGATACACCCTAATCATAAGCATGCTAATAAAAAAGTGATGGGTAATATATTGCATGAGATTATGGGAAAAACTCGTTCCAAGGTTTGGAGGCCTAATGAAATATCAAGGGATTTGAATGCTTTGCTGGAAATCAATGTAGATTACAAACAAGCTTGGCATGCAAAACAATATGCGATGGAACTGTTGTTGGGATCCTCTGAATAATGTTTTTCCAAACTTCCTATTTATTTTCACAATTTGAAGAGACATAATCCCGGTGTAGTGGTTTATATTCAAACAAATTCTAAAGATTGTTTTGAGTGTTGTTTTTATGCCATTGGGAGCACGGTAAATACAAAAAACTTGTTGTTATTTAATATATAATTTTTTTAAACAAATTATAGAGTGTTTATGTGTTCCATTTTAATATATTGCAAATACGAGCGATCAAACGTTTTTGTCGTAAAGTTATAATTATGGATGGTGCCCATTTGAAGGGTGATTTTAAGGGAACCATATTGCATGCAGTAGCTATAGATGAGAACAACCAGATACTGCCCCTTGCGCACAGAATATGAAAAAAAAGAGTGGTCTTACTTGGACATGGTTTCTTGAAAAGTTGTATGAATGTGTTGGTGATTGTCAAGAATTGACTTTTGTAACTGATAGGGTCGATGCAATTCGGGTTAGTATTGAAAATGTTTTCCCACATGCTCATCATGGCTTGTGTGCTTTTCATCTACTAGGAAACATAGTACACAGGTTTAGGAAAAATGATAAAACAAAAGTGTTGTTATGGAGGCTTGTGAAAGCTTACAAAAGAAATGTTTTTGAAGAATTGTGGTATAGATTTAGTTCTACTAGGCCGCAAGTAGTAGCGTATCTAAGTGAAATTCCTCGTGTTAAATGGACTAGAGCATATTCACTGTCGAAATGGTACAATTACATGATCTCGAACAGTGCAGAGTCGATGAATGCTTTATCTGTAGATGCAAAGAAGATGCCTATAATACCCCTTCTTGAGTTCTTCTGTCGTCTTTCACAGGAATGGTGTAACAAGCATCGCATAGAAGGAGGTATGAATTTAGTTTGGACTTTAATTAGGTCGAATAATAAGTTAATTATATATATCTTCTTTACACGGAAACGTTCAACAGTGCTAACCGAGTGGGCTGAAAAATTAGTTAGTAAAAATGAAGAGCGTACGACAGGATGGTCTGTTTCTGGTGTTTCAGATTCAATATATCAAGTTCATGATTTCAAATATGGTGGCATAGTTGATCTGAGGCAAGAGACTTATACATGCTAATATTGGGAAGGAACTGGGTTGCCTTGTGGTCATGTCATAATGGTCTTGAAGCACTTGAAAAAAACTAACTTCGGACATCTGGCTATAGATGCTTACAAAATGGAAACGTACCAAAGTACGTATGAGGAGCCGGTTTACCCCGTTCTAGAACTGTGTGATTGGGAAATTCCTGCTGAGATGATGGTTGTTAAACCCCGATAATGGATACATGTCAAGCTGGTAGACCGAGAAACAGAAATTGTATCCCGTCACAAGGTGAGGAACCTATTATAAGATGGTGTAGTAGATGTGATAATACAACACATAATGCAGCGACTTGTCCGACATTGGTCCTAAAGAAACAAAAAAGGCTACAAAAAGTAGTGCGGCATCATGTAGTAACACAAAAGGGAAAGGGAAAGGGACATAAAGGAATCCGGAGATGCTAGAGACGCACGGGACACAAGAGACGTGTTGGACGAGTGGGATGCAAAGAGAAGACTATTGTTCAACGTTTGATTTGAATGATTGATGTTGTATTTATAATTAATTATGTTTTGTTTTAGAGGGCATTAATTTTTGTACTTTGAAATGGTGTGTTTATTTTAAAGATAATGGGTAATATTATGATTATATTAGTGCATAATTACTAGTAGAATAACTAATACTCGAAGATAATACATTCAACAAACCAGAAACATATAGTAACGTACAAAGTACATGAACTAAAACACCATAGATGAAGTGATACATTATTATTTGTCGTTTTATATGGACATGACAGTCCGAAAATATCCAACGATCATCCATGACAATATATAGACCCTTCAACTCCGCATAGAGCTGTTCGTCAGTCCACGTTATTGAATTGTCAGTCCGCAAAGCGAATGGTGAGTCCGCGTTACTGCCTTGTCAGTCCGCTTTACTGACTTGTCAGTCCGCAAAGTGAATGGTCAGTCTGCGTTACTAACTTGTCAGTCCGCAAAGTGAATGGTCAATTCGCGTTAATGCCTTGTCATTCCGCTTTTTACTGACTTGTCAGTCCGCAAAGAGAATGGTCAGTCCGCGTTACTAACTTGTCAGTCCGCAAAGCAAATGGTCAGTCCGCGTTACTACGTTGTCAGTCCACTTTACTGACTTATCAGTCCACGTTACCTATCTTTTTATATATAGTAAAGAACGTATCTATACGTCCGAATTAGAGGTAAGGGATCATTTCACAAAATGGCATCCAATGTACCAACGTCTTCAAATGCATCTAATCTATCTAATGCGTCTGCTCCAAAAAATGGTACATCTCCATGGATGACAACAGAGGTGTTGGTCCTAACACGGTGCTGGATTACTATTTACGAGGGTCTGCCGGTAATGGCTCCCCTTAATTGCCTTCTTGGTGATGAATGGTCCCGCTTAGTAGCTTTGTTCAACTATAAGGTGGGACAAGGACAAGAACGACTAAAACCCGATATTGTTAGTAAATGGATGGATTTAAAGACTAAAGTCATATGGTACAATCGATGCTAAAGTTATGAGAAAATGCGATGCTCTGATGCTAATGATGAAGAACTTCTTGAATACGAGAACGGATATTACCTGTGCAAGTTTTATGAAACTGAGTTTGAGTATATGGACATTTGGAATCTGGTTAGAAATAAACCCTTTTTCATGTAGATAACTCTTGTATTCGTAATGTTCTATGTAATTTTTGTTAGTCATTAATCTTTTATTTGTAATGTTTTCTGTAATGTTATTATGTTATTTTAAATGTTGTGTAATATATGTTGGTGAATTATGTTTCAAAAAATATATGATACAAAAGTTGTTTATATTAAAAAAACTATTAGAAACAAGTATTTCATAATAATGTATACAAACTTCCAAACATCAAGTTATTTAGTATGCTAAATAATATTTGTCATCCTATTTCTGTAGAGAAATCTCGCATCTCTACATGGCTTATCACTCTTCACCGGTACCCCCGAAGCAATCATTTCCATGTACATGCTTACGAATACTCCACAATCCCATCTATTAATAATATATTATTGTTGTGGAACGTCTACAATATCAATAAACTCCACAACTGCATTGCCTTTGTGTCCATCGGGGAAATCCTTCCAGTAGTCAATCGCATCTAGCTCTTCGATTATACTATCCCCAAAACTTTTGAATTCTCCACCAGTCAAGTACGTTGTGAAGTAATTCATACATCGTGCTAAATCATAAATGTGTACTTTCCAAATATCTAAATGTAGCGCTGCCAAAAACCAATGGGCATGAGGAATGTTAATGGGTAATATAACCTGCAAACAAAAACAAATTTAATAGTCATTAATTCGTTTCCTATAAAAATAAATAATTAATAAACTTAACTACCCATATCCACATCCTTCCATTTAGGATGGCCTTCGACACCATTTGCTATATTCCTAAGAAAATATGTTTCTCCGTTTTGCAAATTAAGTTCTTGAGGGAATATCGTCCACCTTGCATTCGCCGGCCGTCTTTCCATGAGCAAGGCACTCCATATCGCAATATGTTGTACATTTTAAGATAAAAATGTTACAGTTTTTTGTATAAATTATCGTCTAAAATTGTAGTTAAAAATTATATTTAATGAATGTTACCGAAGAAATTAACCACCAAGCGTCAATAACTGCAAGTAACCTCGACCAAAACTCCACCTCTAGTGTGAGCATATGCAGCCTATGCTTAGTGTTTAGGTTGGAAGAGATCGAATTCTATTTTTTCCAAAAACTCAACGTACTGGAAGCTTGAAGACTATCGAGCAGGAGATGATTTGAAACATCATTACTCTCTTCATTCACAATGTCTTCATTTGGTTTTTCAGGACTCTTCACCACTTTTTTTCTTTTCTTTGGTGATTTTCTTCACTTTTGGTGTGGATTGCAACTAAAAAATTAACATGTTGATGTCATCATAGTCAAAATACGTAGGTGTAGGCCCAAATTCCCCCTCCAAACCATGAGTACCGATATCATCATAGTCAAAATGTGTATCATGGTAATATTTTTCTTCCTCCTCTTCATGTATTATCTCTTCCTCCTCTCGAAACCCTCTGTCTGGTTCAATTGTGTCGGGTTCATCTTTTTTCTGTAATACACGGTCTACTTTAGAACTTAAGTCTGCCACAACGTGTAACATACACGTTTTAAAATCGTGTTTTGTAATGAATAAAATTGTGAAATATTATGTAAAATTGAGTGTTGAGTTCTAACAGATGGTTTTTACTAGAAATGAAGTAAACTATGTTTAGAATCACTCAGAAAATATTGGAAGTCTTATGAGATTCCAGTTAAAAGCCAAATAGTGAAATTTAGCGAAAATATGAAATTTTAAATAATTAAATTTTTATTATTTGATGTTGTATAGAATCTCGTTAGAAATTTGTAGGCGAAAACCTCGTCAAAATCCGAGTTATAACGAAGAAGTTATGACCAACCGAAGATCCACGACAAAACCAACACGACGCCGAATGACATAAAAAGTGAGTTTTTGATAAACTACTTTTTAGCCTTAGTAATCTAAATGAAATTCTTAGTATTCGTTAAACCGAGAAATTCGATAAAAAGAACGCCAAATTCTGACTTCGTATGAGGAAGTTATGATTTTTCGAAGTTTCAACTTATCAGTAGACAGCTAAAAACTTGAATTTTAGATCGAGCGATATTTTTCCGATACATCCTAAATGAGAATTGAAGGTCTCTTCATATGTAGTACAACGGTAAAAAGTCTGATGAAAACGGATGTCGGATGAAGAAGTTATGAATTTTTAACGGATTTTCCTGTCCCGGTCTGTTAAAAATAATAATATTAAAAATAAAGTCAAAATTAGCCGACGAAGTCTAAACAAAAGTTCTAGAGAATAATTTTAGCTACACGTGCATATAAAGAATGTAAAAAACGGAGCTCGTATGCGAAAGTTATGAATTTTAGAAGTTCGGGGCCCGAAAACCCAGAATTTTCGCATGAACAGTGTTCGGACACGTCACTCGCACGAAGCAGCAGCGTCACTGAGGTTGTGGCCCAATCCGAAACTGATACGCATCCTATTCTGATTCTCCGAGACCGAGGTTGTGTAAGAGCCGGACACGCCTCGCATCGGTAGCCAATTCGATGCGAGCCACGTCCCTCGTCTCCTATCCGACGCTCGCACGAAGAAGCCACGTCCGAGCCACCGAGCTGCTTCCGGACCGAACCTCGCAGGTGCAACGTGGACTCCTCCTAGCCGTAAATTTCCGAACCTTCGCCCCTATATAAAGAGAGGATGCGAGATCTTCCGACTAACTTTCGAAATTTGCCACTTTTAGCCCCTCTTTCCATATTTTCTTCATATTAACTTTCCCCGAAGCCCCGAAATCAATTTTAGCACCCGAAACACGTCCCGAGACCCCTGAGAAGCCGAGAAATATTATCTTTTCGGTTTTGAAGCCCTACCTTCGCAAATCCCGATTTTCAATTAAGCTCCTGGTTTTCAACATAGAAAGACATATTTAAAGCCAAAGTGATATCCAAATTACTATTTTAACCCCCAGTTAACTTAAGGTGAGTTCAATATATAGGAACACTTGTATGTTATGTGTTATATGTGCTATGTGTTTTTCAGTATTATCATTCTGAGTTATTTTCTCGTGTTATTCGCTATGTTTATAGCAATTGTAATAGCTTTGACCATGTGATCAGTGAAAGGACTTAGATTCACATTGGTACTGGTACGTAGCCTCTGGCCATGTAGAGCATGTCTTCGTAAGAGAATGACTTCTATTCGATGGCATTGACAAATGGTTAGACAGGACTATAAGCCTGAAATCTAACAAGAGGTTAATCAGAAATTGCATGTCATCTATGCCATTTGGGCCAAAGCTTTATTGATGTACATCAAAAATTGAAAAGAATATCTTTTAATAATGTCTTTGATTGATATGAACTCTTGTCACATGATCTCACATACATCTTATTGTTCCTCTTTGCTTTGCCACATTGAAGTATATATATGGCATAACATTATATTGTATCTATTTTTGAACTCACTAAGCGTCACCGCTTATTCTATCAATGTTTAACAATTGCAGGTGATAAATAACTAGTATGTTTACATACTATTGAAAGATGTAGAATAGTTTGTAATATTACTTTTGTACTACTTTTTATGTTTGTATAAATTACAATATCCTGGGTAGTTATGTAATATATATAACACTTTGTAATAGAAGGTTTGTATCCAATAGTTTGTAAATCCTTTATATCAATGTAAAATATTGCTTTTATGAATATGCAAATAGCATGTTTTGGAGTAATGATAATGTGAAATATGAAAGTTTGGGTCTTTCAAAAATACGAAAGTTGGGGTCTTTCAACCATGGTATCAGAGCAGTAATTTAAGCGAACTAAATTTCATGGATTGGTATTTAGACTTAAACTATAGGAAGTTCAATATATGAAATTAATCACTGTAAGTATAGGGATACAAACCATAGGAAATATATAAGTAAAACTATTAGGTAATAGTAAATCCTAATATTCTAAAATACAATCTTACTCCGTATTTCAGATCAATGGCTGAACAAGTAAGTAGCCATACCCCTGATGTTGGTGGAGATCCTCAACCCGAGGAAGTGAATACTCTAGTATCTCCTCGTGAGGAGCGACTTCTAGGTAAACTTACCGGTGTTATTCGACAAACTCTCGAAGAACACAAAAAGAATGATGATAAAGGAAAAGAGAAAGCGACTGGAGAATCTTCAAGCGGAAAGGTGAAGTGTCCCTCGTTCAAAGATTTCAAGAGTAGTGGTGCTACGGAGTTTTCTGGTGTCCTTAATACTATAATTTTTCTAACTTGGATTCAAAACACCGAGAAAGTATTTTATGTTTCTCATGTGGATGATGAAGACAAGGCTATCTATGCTTCTGCAATGCTCTTTGGAGAAGCTTTAGTCTGGTGGGAAGCAACATATGAAGCTCTCGATGGATGTGACCAGGAGAATTTATCCTGGGATTTGTTCAAGACTCGTGTGCTAGAGAAGTATTGTCCTCTAGATATGAGGAGAAGATTAGAGAAGGAATTCCTCGAGCTTAAACAAGGAGGAATGACTGTGAATGAGTATGAAACTCAATTTATTCAAAGAGCAAGGTTTGCTACGAAGTATATTCCAACTGAAGACAAGAAAATTCAGTTATTCATGGAGGGACTACGACACGAAATTCATGATTTCGTTGTCAACCGGGATGTTCTGTCATTCGATAAAGCCGTTGAGTATGCTCGAAGGCGTGAGCATGACTTAGAAATACGTGGTGCCACTCTTACTATTCCAAAGCATCCACGTACTGAAAGAACTACTCCTGCTTCCACTATTCCACCAGCTCAATCTATTCGAACTGATCCAAGCAAGCAAGCACAATCTCAGAGTGCTTTTCTTGGTCGTGGTAGGTCACAATCTTTTTCTATTCAATCACCATCATGTCGCGTTTGTGGAAGGAATCATCTAGGTCAATGCAAAATAGACAAGGAATCGATTGTCTGTTATGGGTGTGGAGAAACAGGTCATATCAAGCCAGTTTGCCCAAGGAAGGATGTGACTTGTTATGCATGTGGTATTACTGGCCACAAGAAGCGTTTTTTCCCTACTCTTACCAGCCAAGTGACGGGAAGTCAAGCTTCTGTTCATTAACCAGCGAGAAGTCAAGTCCTTGTCCAACAACCGAAGAATACTCCAACTAAAAAGGAGGAGGTGCCAAAAGCTAAGGGTCGTGCATTCCAGATTACCGCAGAGGAAGCACGTGAGGACCCAAATGTCGTGACAGGTACATTTTTTTGTCAATTCTAGACCTGCTCACATCTTATTTGATTCTGGTGCCTCGGATTCTTTCGTATCTTATGAATTTGCGCATTCTTTTCAAACTGTTTGCTATGCACTCGCGTAACCATTTTACGTAGATACTGCAGGAAGTATATCATTAGTTGCTGATAAAATCTATAGGGATTGTGTCATAGAAATTGAAGGCTATAATTTTCTTGCTAACCTAATCCCTATCTCCTTGCCCAATTTCGATATTATTCTCGACATGGATTGGTTGTCAAAGAACCATACAGAACTCTTGTGTTACGAAAAGATGGTACACATTCCTATTGAAGGGGAAGATCCTATTCATGTCTATGGTGAACAAAGAATCTTAAAAATAATCTCTTTCCTCAAAGCTCGTAAATTCATATCGAAAGGTTGTCCTATCTATCTGGCCTATACAGTTGACATCTCAAGAAAGGAGAATAAAACTATAAATGATATTCCCATTGTTAACGAATATCCCAATGTTTTCCCCGATGATCTGCCTAGACTTCCTCCGGACAAACAAGTAGAATTCCAAATTGACCTTGTGCTCGGTGCTGCTCCGATTGCAAAGACTCCTTATCATCTTGCACCAGCCGAGATGAAAGAAATGATGATCCAACTGCAGGAATTACTTGACAAAGGCTTTATTCGACAAAGTACCTCT